AACGAGCTATGACAGCAATCTGGAGAATTCAAAACAACCTGGAGGTTCGAGAGTTGGATGCAAATTTTTTCCAGTTTGTGTTCACGAAGAAGGAAGATATGCAGAAGGTTGCGGCTGGTAACAACTGGATGTTCGAGAATCAATATCTCATTTTGAAGGAATGGAGGGAAGGTATGAACAAAAACCACCCATGTTTTGATGAGCTCACACTGTGGATACAAGTGCACAATATACCACTGAATTGGATGAGCGTGGAGGTCGGGCTAAAAGTGGGACGTGTGTTTAAAGGAATCAAGAATGTGACCATCACAAATTCTGGGAATCAAGTGGGTCGATTCCTTCGATTATTGGCTGTCGTGGACATTACAGAGCCTCTGCCCAGATGCACACATATAAGACTGGGAGAACAGAAAGCACAAGTGTTTTTTTAAGTACGAGAGATTAATAAACCTCTGCTATTACTGCGGATTAATTGGTCACTTGGATAGAAATTGTGCTAGCAGAATGGTGGCCATACAGGGGAACAATGTTCAGGAAGGAAAGTATGGAGATTGGATAAAGGCCTCACCAGTACCAACAGCATTTAGTAGAAGTCAAGGTACTGGTACAGAATCACAGGGTGACCCCAGTGCTAATCCTCAAAATCTCTCAGGGAACTCAGTGACAGAAACACAGAACAATCTCCAAGCACAAGCAGAAATAGGCCAGAATCAAAGACAAGTAGTGCCACTGGAGGTAGAAAAAGAGGGTGCAGGCAGTACCCGTGAACCAGAGAAGAGCTTAGTTGAGTATGCGTTGCAAGTAGTCAAACCACTAACATATGAAGGGGGCCAGAATCAACAAGCTCTAATGGTGGTTCCACAATCTGAGTTCTCAGGCCATGAGAAGATGATTATTGAGACAGGCATGACATCTTACACATTACAGAATAAAGCTGAAATGGTTGAGGGAGTTATAGAGATCAAAAAAAGAGGGAGGAAGCCGAGTAGCTGGAAAAGATCACAAGCAGCTAATAAACAAACAGCAGGAAGGCCCAGCAGAAAAACAAGTAAAGAAGGCTTATCCATTGAAGACATAGTTCACAAGAGAGGCAGAGATGAGGTGTTTCCTAGCAAATTGGAAGATCAGGTGAATGAAGAAAGAAACACAGACAAAAAAAGGAAGATGACTGAAACACAGGTGGTGGTGGCCAGCCTTGAGTGGCCATATGGTGACCAATGAATGCTCATGTGTGGAACTGTAGAGGTCTGGGTGGGCCCTTTACAATTCCCCAGATTAAGGAGTCCATTCGGACCCATCACCCGCATTTTGTGTTCATTTCTGAAACTAAGCAACATAGAGCTTTTGTAACAACTGTATGTAGGAAACTTGGCTACAAGGAGAGGAATGAGATTGTTGACCCTGTTGGGAGGAGTGGAGGACTCATGTTAGTGTGGGCTGAGGAAGTAGAAGTTCTACAAATCAGGAGTCACTATTTTTGCATAGAGGTCCAGTTCAGAATGCAGGCTGAAGCTATTACACAATGGGCTACCTTTGTGTATATGAGCACTGATTCCAGAACCTGAGAAGATCAATGGAGATATTTGGAGCATTTAAAAAGAGGCTGGGGTGACAGATCGTGTATTGCTGGTGATTGGAACGAAATAACCAGTGTGGAGGATAAGATGGGAGGAAGGCCTAGATCGGAGAGGTCTCTGGAGGGGTTCCTAACTTTTATTGCTCAAATGGGCATGATGGAGATCAGGACACAAGGTTACCCTTACACATGGGGTAATAATAGAGAAGGCGAGGGGTATGTAGAAGAAGCTTTAGAGAAACTGTTTGTGTCTCTTGATTGGCTGAAAGATTATCCAAACACCCAAGTCACTTCTAAATTTCGAGCTGCTTCTGATCATACTATGTTGGTAGTGTAATCTAATCCCACTATCAGGAGGAGTAAGAGCCGGTTTCACTTTGACTATAGATGGCTCAAAAGGCAAGGAATAGCTGAAGTTGTAGAAAAGGCCTGGACAGAGAATCAGACAGGTACTCCAATGTTCAAGGTCAAGGAAAAAATCAAGAAAACAAGGGAGGCCTTGCTGCAATGGAGTAAATACTTCAAATCTGAAAGAGACAGAACTGTCCAAAGATTGACAATGAGGTTGGATGAGATGAGACAAGAAGCAGGAGCAAGGAACTGGGCAGAGTGGGGTCAAATTAACAGAGAACTTGAGCAAGCTTATTGTACTGAGGAAGAATTTTGGCAACAGAAAGCAAGAATACACTGGCTAAAGGAGGGGGACCAGAACACACATTTCTTTCATGCATATGTTATGCAGAGAAGAAAGCAAAATGCAATAACCAGGCTGGTAGCTGACAATAACAGAATCTGTGCCACAAAGGAGGAGCTAGAGGAGCATATTTCCTGTTTTTATGAGAGACTATTCACATCTGAAGGTTCAATGGGAGGCCAAGAGCTCCTTCAAAATATTCAGCATTCAGTCACTCCTCAAATGAATGAAGAATTGCAAGCTCCAGTAACAGAAGAGGAGATTAAGCAAACACTATTCAGCCTAAGCCCAAAGAAAGCCCCAGGAGCAGATGGTATGTCAGCTTTATTTTCCAGCATTTTTGGCCATTAATTAAAAGGGACATTTGTGAGGTTGTAGAGAGTTTTTTTGTGTCTGGCAGACTATTAAAATATTGGAATCATACTCTAATCACACTCATTCCAAAATGTAAGAATCCTACTACTCTTAGCCATTTCAGGCCTATAAGTCTGTGTAGGGTTGTGTACAATATTATATCTAAAATCCTCACTTTCAGATTAAGGAATCGTCTGCATCATTGCATTGGGCCAACACAAGGAGCATTTATTCCGGGTAGGCTAATGAGTGATAATGTAGTGATTGCACAGGAGGTGTTTCATTTTTTAAACAGGCATAGAACGGGGAAGCACAAATTCATGGCATTAAAATGGGATATGCTTAAAGCCTATGACAGAATTGAGTGGAGTTGTTTGAATCAAGTTATTCTGAGAATGGGATTTGGAATTAAATTTGTTCAGTGGATCATGACTTGTGTTTCTACATCTTTTTTTTCTGTGTTAATTAATGATGAGCAATTTGGGTATTTTAAGGCATCAAGAGGATTGAGACAGGGTGATCCATTATCCCCTTACTTATTTATTCTTGTCTCAGTACTTTTATCTGCCTTGATTAATAACTATGTGGAAAGTGGGCAGTTCAGGGGCTTGAGTATTGCAAAAAATGGCCATGTGTTATCTCATTTATTATTTGCAGATGATACCTTAATTTTTTGTAAGGCAGATACACATAATGCAAGGGTGTTGATGGATGTGCTCCACAAATACAAACAGTTCACAGGGCAGCTAGTTAACTTGGCTAAATCATCAATTTTCTTTAGTAAGAACACAAGCCAAGACCAACAGCAAAGAGTGTGTGAAATCTTGAGGGGAATACAACTGCAAACCTCTACCAGATATTTGGGACTGCCCTTAGGCATAGGAAAGTCCAAGAGGGAAGTTTTCTGCTATGTTGTGGAGAAAGTAAGGAAGAGAATTGAGAACTGGAAAAACACTTATTTGTCTGCAGCTGGGAAAGAGGTATTAATTAATGCAGTCCTTAATGCTCTTCCAATTCATATTATGACATGTTTTAGATTACCAGTGAGCATTTGCAAAGAAATATCAAGCTTGTTTGCACAGTTCTGGTGGAGGAATGGAGAAGACAGAACACAAGGCATCCACTGGAAGAGATGGCAGTTGATGACAACTCCAAAAGAGAGAGGAAGTCTGGGATTTAAAGACATAAGTATTTTCAATGAAGCAATCTTAATTAAGCAGCTATGGAGAGTGGTGACCCAACCACATCTATTGATGAGCAAAGTTATTAAAAGCAGGTATTTTCCACACTCCTCAATTTTTTTAGTATCATTATCTTAATCAGCTTCATGGCAATGGAGGTGCTGGTGGAACATTAGAAAGCTGCTGCAAGAAGGATTGGAAGTAGTAGTCAAGAATGGAGCTTCTTTGAAGGTGCATGACTTTAATTGGATACCAGGGATAGAAGGGAGAAAACCCCATATCATTGATGACTCCCTCCATAATCAGCTCAGAGTGAAAGATCTTCTAGAGGATAATGGCTGGAACTGGGATGTAAACAAAGTGAAACAGATTTTTAG